ACTCGCAACCGAGACTCGGAGTCCTTCCTGCAGCGGCTCCTTTGGCTGCGGGGCCGCGGGTGCCTCCGCCATGTGAATCTGGGACTCTTCTCGCTCCTTTACGAAGCGCCCTTTGACGCCCACGCCAGCCTCTACCAGGCCCGCTGCCGCTACCTGCAGCCCCGCTGGGTCGATTTCCCCGGCCGAATCCTGGATGTGGGATTCGTGGGCCGCTGGTGGGTCCTGGGGGCCCGGATGCGCGACTGCGACATCAACCACGACGAGTTCCTCCACCTGCCCCCGCATTTGCGTGTCATTGGGCTGCACCAACTGCACTCCGAGGCCAACGAGCGGCTCTTCGATGAGAAGTACAAGGCCGTGGTGCTCACCGACGATCAGGTGGACCAGGCGCTGTGGGAGGAGCAGGTGTTGCAGAAGGAGAAAAAGGACAAGCTCACCCTGAGCCAGGCCGAGTCCCTGGTGCGGTCGGAGGTCGCCGGATGAAAGCCAGGCGAGGGCCCAGGCCTGACCGGGTTCTGAGCCCTGGCAGGCTGTGTGCTCGGGAGGGTACAACTGGTGAGAGTGGGACTGAGATATTACATGCAGTGATCCCTCACTGGGTTGTCACAAGTATGAGGAGCCTTTCTCCCTTTTTGTTCCTTGTTAGTTAAATTCAGAGCCTTCTTGGTTCAGGAGTTGGGGGGAGCAGAGCGACTTAACCATGTACTGTTTACCACTGTCAGAGCTAGTGATGAACCCTTATGTTTGCCGTTTTCAGCTGGAAACACAGTGTAGCTCAGTGATGTAAAGCACTGGCCTAGCAGGCGAGTTGCTGTTTTCCATCCCTAGCCTGGTAAAAAGAAAATACAGTAGTCTCTCTTAAGGCCCACACAGTCACCCTGGTAGGGAGATACAGCGTTGGTTGGACTCCCACGCCACTCCCTAAAACCATTCAGTTTTGTTTTGTGTGTGTGTGTGTGTGTGTGTGTGTGTGTGAGTGAGGTTATTGTCCTGGGGATAGAACCCAAGATCTGCACTGAGCTACATCCCTAGCCCTTCTTTAAATTTTGTTTTATTTTGAGACAGGGTCTCATTAAATCGCTGCTGTGTTGTTGGCCTCCAATTGGTGGGCTCAAGTGATCCTCCATCCTCAGACTTTGGAGTAGCTGGGACTGCAGGCACATGCCCACCATACCCAGCTTCAGTTGGGCTGGGGTTTTTTTGGTTGTTTTTTTCTTTTTTTTTCGGTATTGGGGATTAAACCCAGGGCCTTCTCACTGAACTACATCCCTATCCCTTTTTAAAACTTTGTTTTGAGATAGGGTTTCCCTAAATTGCCCAGGCTAGATTCGAATTTTTGCAAACCTGCCTCAGCCTCCCAGAGCCTTGGGATTACAAATTTGCACCACTGTGCCTGGCTTTCTAAGATCCATGCTTGTGCTTTATGGGTGTTTTTGTTCATTGTTGTTCAGTTTGGTGCTGGTGATCAAATGGGCTGTATCACTTAGTTATACACCCCAGCCCTCCTACTCCTTTTTTATAAATAATGTTTCTGTTTTGGTATTTTAAAAAACTTTATTTTGGAGTAACTTTAGTCTCACATGAAGCTGGTAAAATAAGGAGACATCTTGTGTACCTTTCATCCAGCTACCCTAGAATGTAGCTAATATTAAGCCAAGGAACTGACATCAGTGTGACTGGTGAGAGGCAAGTGACAAAAAGCATCTGACTTTACTGTGTGTATATTGACAGTTTTGGAAGTGGTTTAGAAGCCCATAAAGCATGTCCTGATTTCAAAATTTATATGGACTCAGAATTCTGTGCAGAGGGATAAGTCAGGGTACATAGCTGGTATTTACCTAGGTTATGGTTATTACACCTGTGAAGCTAAAATAATTGGGGAATGAGACCACCTCTACCTTCTGGGTGGCCTATGGGTCGATAATAAAACCAGGAGATGAAACAGTTATCTCTTTTTTTTGGATGTGTGTGTGTGTATCAGGGTTCGAACTCAGGCCTTTGCGCTTGCAAGGCAGGTGGCAGAACCGCTGAGCCAAATCCCCGGACTGGAACCAGTTATCTTTGTTGTGACATGTTTTGAGGGGTTTTTGTTCTGCTTTAGTTGTGCTGCTAGGCACCAGCCAAGGGGCCTTGTACATGCTGAACGCTCTGAGTTACATGCACTGCCCACTGCCTGTGTAATGTTTGTGTTTATTTGCTAACTTAGTTTTTTGGCACTTGAATTTTTTATTCATAACGTGTGTTCTTGGAACACATGATAGTTTTAAATATTTTGAGGCAAGAGAGGTCTCTTGTAAGTCTGCATCTCCATTCTGCAGAGGAAAAACAGGTTCAGAAAGTTTACTTTTTTCAGGATTGTGGTAGATCCACTATAACTGCTAGCCCTGTGACTTAGTCCTTAGAATTGCGATGCAGGCTGTCCATGGTGGCACACACCTGTAATCCCACCATTCGGGAGGCTGAGGCAAGTGGCTTGCAAGTTTGAGACCAGCCTGGGCAATTTAGCGAGACCCTAAAAAGATTTTTTAAAACAGTGGGGGGTATAGCTCAGAGGCACAGCGCTTGCCTGGCATGCATGAGCCTTGTATTTCTCCCTGAGGTGGGGAAGGCTCAGAGAATGGTAGAACACCAGACAGAAGCACTCACATCTCTCAGGATCTAAAAACAGACCCAGAGATACTGGGAATCTTAACATGAACACTTTCGAGTCCCCCCACCCCTGTTTTTGGTATCAGGAATTAAACTCAGGACCTTGGGTGGCAGCACCACTGAGCTAAATCCCCAGCCCCTTAAAGTTTTTTTTTTAAGTGTTGGAGATGGAACCCAGGGCTTTGCATGTGATAGGTAGATGCTCTCTCATTGAACTACACTCCCAGCATTTAATTTTTATTCTTTGTTTTTTGTTTTGTTTTGTTTTGTTTTTTGGCACCGGAGGTCGAACTCAGGTCTTTGTGCTTGTGAGGCAAGCAGCAGAACCACTCAGCTAAATCCCTGGCCCTAAATTTTATTCTTAATTAGACTTTTCAGACCACTCCAAGGTTTGTCTTCTAGCAGGGTACTTCCTCCAAAAGATGCTGTCTCTGCTGGGGTGGTGGCACATACCTGTAATCCCAGCACCCGGGAGGCTGAGGCAGGAGAATCACCACAAGTTCAAGGCCAGCCTGGGCTACACAGTGAGTTCAGGGTCAGCCTGAATTACAAAGGGAGACCCTGCTTTACAACAGAAAAAAGAAAAACCACTGTCCCTGCTGTTGTGGTTAGAAAAGCCAGCAGAGGGCACCAGAGACTTGATTCAGAGAAGTTGGCCAACTCCAGGTTGCTTTTGTTCCTGTGAAATGGAGTGTATATAAAAATACACAATGAACGGTTAAGTTTTTAAAATGTAGCTGGGTGTACCAGCGCATGCATGCCTGTCATCCCAGCTCCCAGGAGGCTGAGGCAGGAGGATGTCTGAGTTTGAGGCCAGCCTGGACTGCAGAGTGAAACCCTCAAGGGAAAAAAAAAAAAAAAAAAAAAGGATGGGGTAAGTGTGTTAGAGGCCAGGGAGAGGATTTTGAGGATTAAAGGAGGATGTCTTTTACTGTAATAAAGTTTCTTGTTTTGGTTTCAGAATGTGAGCACAGTCCAGGGATTGCGTTTGGTTGTGACTCTCAAGCCCCTTTTAATCTGCAGAACCCAACCCCCACCCCTGCCCCTTTAACCACCCACAGGGTCCTGCTGTGTGGCCCTGAGGCACATCTGGTGTGAGGTTGGTAGGCTGTGTTACCTCCTCATGCCTCGGGCCTCCTCACAACACGCACATCCCAGAGCAAGAGGCTGTGCGTGGCTGCCCAAGTCACCCTCCAGGATGCAGCCCAGGCTGGCGGGTCCACAGCTCCCTGGGTTGCCGATGATAACAAGGGCAGAGCTGCAACTCAGGGGGAGGTGCTGGTGTAGCACATGCCCTTCTCCCTCCAGCAACCTTTGCTCACTTGTCCTTTTATGGTCCTGCAGCTTGGAGGATTATTTAGTTGGAGTCATGCGATAGACTCTTTTCTTGTCTTTTTTTGTTGTTTAACGTTTTTGAGGCAGGGTCTTACAGTGTAGTTGTTATGTAGCCCAGGCTGGCCTCAGATTAGCGATCCTCCTGCCTCACCTCCCGGGTGCTGGGATGACAGGTGTGTGCCACTGTGCCCTGCTATACCTACACAGACTTCTCAGGTTGGCTCCCCCCATACTGAGGAGTGAATTCGGGGCCTTGGTGCTGAGCTATACCCCCTGCCCCCCCTTTTGTATTTTGAGATAGGTTTTCAGCTTGCTAAGTTTCCCAGACTACAAACTTCCTGCCTCAGCGTCCCAGAGTGCTAGGATTACAGTTTTGTGCCACCACCCTCAACTCTTACACTAGCAAAATGACATTTAAGGTTCCTCTGTCTTTTAAAGTATATGGAATTACCTGCGTATTCCACAGTGTGTTTGTCCATCACCTAAGGAGGTCACCTTGGTTACTCCGGAGTGGACTTGGTGGCACTGGGCTGGTGGCTGTGAAGGGGCGCATCCTGGCGGGCCTTGACACGTAGTGAACACCAGAGGGTGCCAGAGACCAGCTTCTCTTGGAAAAGTCAGCCATTTCTTTTCAGTGAGACTGGGTCTGAGCCCCAACAGGCTAGGCTTGATCCGGGAAGTATTTCTGGGAGAAAGATGAGACACTCTGGCTTCCTTTGATGTGAAAACCAGGGTTTCATCATGACTAGAGGTTTTCTTGGGACACATGACAGTTTCCTTGCCTCAGCATTCACAGGGCCCCCACAGAAGTTAAGTGAAGCGGTTCAGGTATTATGCACTCTGGGGGGCTGAGGCCCGAGGGTCATAAGTGTGAGGCCTTCCTAGACAGTTTAGTGAGACCTTGTCTCAAAAAACAAAGGGGCTGGGGGCCAGGGATTTAGCTTAGTGGCACCGTGCCTGCCTCGCAAGCTCAAGGGCCCGAGTTGAACGATTCTCGGTACCGAAAAAAATAAGTAAATAAAGGGGCGGGGATGTGGTTCACTGTGAAGGCCCTGGCTTTAATGCTATGTACCACAAAAATAATCTTTGAAAGGATTTATGTAGGCTGCAGGAGCTTTCATGTTTACTTTCAGTGTTGGGAATCAGACCTATGGCCTCTTACACACCAGGCAAGCATTCCTCTGCTGGGCCACCCCAAGCCCTTACCTCCCAGCGGAGGCTGAAAGTCTGAACCCAGGCAGCCCTGTCAGTGTCGCCTGTGCCGAGGGCCCTTCATGGTCAGTGTGTCACCATGAAGAGCCGATGTTACAGGGTAAGGCTCAAGGCAGAGCTGGGCGTGGTGGTGACGCCTGTAATCCCAGCACTCGAGAGGCTGAAGGAGGAGGATCCTGTGAGTTGGAGGCCAGCCTGGGCTAAATGGTGAGTTCAGGGCCTCACTTAGGAGCGTAGGAGCGATCTTCCTGCCTCAGCCTCCCACAGGCATGTGCCACCAGCCTAGCTATTGAAAGATACCACTTTAAAGAAGTTATACGTGCCAGGCGCAAGACATTACATGCTAATCCTAGGTGTTCAAGAGGCCGAGGCAGGAGGATGACAAGTTCAGTTTCAGCTTGGGAAACTTGGCAAGACCCTATCTCTAAATGCAGAGGGCTGGTCGTGTAGTTTAGCCTGTCCTGGATTCAATCCCAGTACTGCAGGAAGGAGCAGGAGGAGGAAGGGGAGAGGGGCAGAAGAGAGACCAAACACACTACACCTGCCCGTCTCTTCCCATGGGATGTTTTTTCCATCGTAGGACTCTGCCAGCAAGAAAACCATCACCATACAAGCCCTCCCGAACCGTGAGCCTAAACAATCCTTTTTTTCTGTATAAAGCAGCCTGGCTTGGCCTTGCATTACAGTAACAAATAGAACACATACAGGTCTGAAGGTTGAGAGGGAGGAACCCTGTGGATATCTGAGGAGACATTCCAGGAGAGCAAAGGGAGTGTGCAAAGGCCCTGTGGCAGCATG